TTTAGAATAGTAGTGGGCCATCTTACCCAAAATGTGAGTGAAAGACGGTTATAATAATACTTATAAATAAATAGTGAAAACGAAAACATGCATGTTATATTACAATTTACATATCTACTTTATGTATCTAACGTTGATTGCGATAGCTTAACTATAATTTATTTAACGTTACAGCAAGTTTTAGTGGACACATGAGAAATTTTACAGGTAGTCGAAAATAAAAATATAATATAATATTCATAATCTTGCTATTTCGAAAAATGTACGACACTACACATACACTACGATAAATATCGATTATCTTTGTGAGTGATTACACAAACGCAATTTTTTGCAATTATTAGAGAAATTACAGCCTATGGCCATCTTATCCGAGTTTACTCTATAGAAGGATTTTTCTCAATGATATGCTATACTCCAAAATAATTACTGTCAATAACGCATACCCGCCGACGCGGAAGCCTTAGTATTTGATAGTTCGAGAGTCACTAAATTTTTCAGTCAATAATTTTCGACTGCGCGTTTCAGATAATTTGTATCGCGATTATTGATTATCCGAAAAGATAATAATGATTTGCCCGAGCAAACTGTGATACTTTAACATCGTTTCTCATTTGCATGAGTAAGGAACACTCATATTTTACGTGCAATCGATAGAAAAATGATACGACTCAATCTAATGTAAGCTTTATTTTAAAAAATGTTAAACGGTTGGCTTACATTAGATTGAATCGCATTATTTTTTATGGATTATGTGTAGAAGATAACACTAGAAGAATATTAACGCTAGAAGATAATTCTTCTCGCTGACGCAAACAAAAGACATCGGGCTGTCAAAGTGTCACAGTTGCTTGGATAAGTCGTGTTGCTGCCTCTTCGAATAATCAATAATATCACGACATATTATCGTTCAGCAACGGATGCGATGACAATTTTCATTAAGTAATTTTCGACCTAAAAAAATAGCCAATATGTGAACCTTTGTGTATATTGTCACGCTATAGAAACGAAAATTATTTGCGATGAAATGATCGATTAATTTTGTATAATGAATGAGAAAATAAACACGTATGATAGATAACGCATGAAATAATTAATTAGAGATGTCCCCTTCGACACGTTTAATAATAATTAGCGCGGATCTTATCGCTGATATCTTATCGCATTTGTGGAAACTAGATTTTGCGTAACTCGAGACACACGTGAGAGATAGTTACTTTGTCCGCCATTAGCTCCGGAGAAAATTATTGATTATTAATTCGCTTCAATGTTCATAAGTGAGCATCCGTATCATATACATAGAAGTTCCAGTGTAAAATTATATACCGTATTATTTCAGGCATGAATGTTGTCGCTTTTAGATTATTCGTGTATTTGGAGCGATTTAAAAAACAAAGTTAATGCTCTGTATTATGCATAAACGCGCTATTATCGTCAACACACCGCCGAGTTTTTATAGAGAAACACACATATGATTATAATTCGACATGAGCGCACACTCCGAACGCGCAAAATCTTTAATGATGTGCAAATCTTTGCAAAATATTCCTGAAAAAAAATGTATCCGCCTAAAATGATAAACGGTGAATTTTTGCATTTGCATGACTTAAATACGTATTTATCAGACATTTGCATATATCGGCATAAACACATCGCGTCGCTTGCAGTCAATGAAATAATTACTTTAATATTCTTATTCAAATATTCATTAAATATGTGTATATGTGTGTGTGACATCCCTCTCACATTGTGAGAAACACGAAAGAAGTTATCTGATAAAAAATTAACAAACAGATATTTCCAATCGAGATACTAATAAATTTTTTTGTCAGGAAACATCCAATGAGAAATATCGGTGCATAATTTATCACACTCCTCGCGAAAGCTGTCGTGATAAATGCGTCAAATCTGAAATTTATGCGTTTTTTCTTGCAAGACAGAAATTAGCTCTTTCCTTTCACGCTGCGTTTCTTAGAAATTTCGGGAAAGCGTAGCGAAAGAATGTTAAGAGACGCCGAGATATTACATAAACGCGTTTCGCTAAGAGGTGACAGATATGCGAAAAAGGAAATCAATCTATTCAGCAATCAGAGAATTTTATCTAGAAAACTATTAATTCCTGCTCCGCGGTTATTCTCAACAACAACGAAAGAATGTAATTTGTAATTTTTGTAACGTTCCTTCTGAGGAGGCATTGGGAATTATCTAAAGATTACACTAATATTATGTGCATTATCACCGATAAACATATAACAGCATAGCCTATCTGAAGTACTCCTGAATATTCCGATAGCCACCAGGCCAGTAGCCAAGTGCGTCAGTCTATGGCCGTCAGAGGAACGTTGAAGAACGAAAGATAGTAATGTGCAACGGCTGAGAGAATATCAGTAGTAGGTACGATAAAAATCGCAAGGCAAAAATCACGCGCGATGTGCAAAATAGAGAAATCGAGTATGAACGAATTTCAAAATGCGCAGACAACGTTGAATCCGGGACGATGTAAAATTAACCGCGTGTACGTTTAATAACCAGACAGTCGGTACTCGACCCAATCTCTTGGCTCCTCGCGTTGAGATTCAGAATTCACTCGATTTTCGACACACTCTCCTATCGTACTTTCTAAATTTCTTCGTACTTTCTAAATTGCTTCGAGTGCAATTCCACTCGGAAGGCAGATGAAGCGATGACAATCGATTCACGCGAAGGTGAGTGACTGTTCACTCGTATAGAGCGGATTCTTACGCTCTATTCTGAGTCGTCGAATAAATATCTTAACACTTCTGTAAACACACATTACTGAACGGCGGTAGTAGCAGTAATAATGGTAGTAGAACAACTACGTACTCTCTCTCATTCTAAATTTCTTAGAGTGTAAAGTTTCGCTCAAAAGGAGTGGATATTCACTTCAAGTGATAGTGAAAATATTGTCACTCTGAATGGAATAACATTTCATTTTTCATAAGAAATGAATATTTTACTCCAGCTAAAATAAATATTTCAAATAAATTTAATTTTTACAATTAGATAAAAAGAAGAATCTATAGTTCTATCGTGTTTGTAGTTGCTAATGACTCTAGTTATTGCAATCTTTTTAATGGTGTGTCATTTAATCAATTCCATTTATAAATTCGCTGACTACAGTGGGGCTTGGACCTTGACTTCTAGCTCTTGAGTCATTCGTCTTATTTACTGAGCCACTGCTATCAACTGATGAGAATGGCTCTAACTATATATGTTTCCGAATGATTCATTCTTTCATGGCTGAAAATTCACTTCATACGAGTGAAAAACCAGTCTAACTTGAGGTCGTCACTCCATTTGTCGAGGAAAAATTCATTCCACGATAAGAAGGAATTCACTCTATAAGAGTAAGTGAGAAGTCATTCTAATTCAAGTGACCCGGTTGTCACTCCATTTTTCAAGTAAGATTTTCACTCCAAGGAATTTAGAGAGTAATAATAAAGCGCTAATAGACGGTCATTCAGGCAAGACAATGTAACGTCGCGTAAAATTGAACTGGCGCTCGAGTGACTCGATGCACGATTGTTATCGCAGATGTCAATATTGCGGATTAACGCGTCGTGCAGCGATGGCGATCTGATAGCAAAAATATAGTCGTAAATCGACGGTCGCGCGAGCGCCCCATTTAACAGCCGTATACATCGTGATTATTATGATATATTTGCAGATCGTGGCAATTGTGCTCTTCGCGTTATCGAGGATGATGCGCGCGACAATTCTTCTCCTGATCGCCGCGTCGGCCGTGGTAACAGGTAAGTTACAGTTACCAGGTAAGACCGTGGTAACATTTCGCGATTGTACACACGGCTTCCTTTCGCCACTAACGGGACATACTACTGTGTTCAAAAAGTAAGACCAATTTTCAAGTTAAATTGCGCGGGTATATCGAAAGTCAAAAATATTTTTTTTCTAAATTGATAGCACTGTGACAGACATCTGTGTCAAATTATGCGTCGTTTGCGTGAAGTTATTCGCAAAAAGAGGCCGGAATTGTGGAAAGACAACTCTTGGTTTTTGCACCACGATAATGCGTCATCTCACACTGCATTGGTTCTTCGAGACCATTTCGCTAAAAATTTGACCCATATCGTTCCACAACCACCATATTCACCTGATTTAGCATCGTATGACTTCTGGTTATTCCCTAAACTCAAAAGACCGCTCCGGGGATACCGTTTTGACTCGATTGAAGAGATACAAGCTAAATCGAAGAAAGCTTTGAAGGCCATTCCGGAAATCGACTTTAACAACTGTTTCGAGGGTTGGAAAAAACGTTGGCATAAGTGTATTGTGTCTGAGGGGGATTACTTTGAAGGCGACGAAATAGATTTGGAATAATAAATAAAGATTTAAGAAAAAAATTTTAAATGGTCTTACTTTTTGGACACAGTAGTATGTTTTCTCCGCCATTAATAATAATCTGAACAAGCAGTTTTCTTGACATTCGGAGTATATCAGCTATCACTCTGCTTATTACATTGCTTGGAACAAGTATGCCCTCGCAAGCAGAACCATATCTAAGCCATATCTAAAATACAGATAGCATAACTATAGTGCGTGCGGCGCAGCGCACACAAGCGAAGAATCGTGTACGTGTGAGCTGCCCGACGGGCCAAAGTGCCACGCACTATAGTTCGTGACGAGCAACCCACACGTACACGGTTGCATCGCTTGGTAGGCTGCGCCACACGCACTGTAGTCATGCTACCTGCGTCTTAAATGTGGCACCTCTACTCGCAAGAGCTTCAGTAGAACGTCAGTGTCCCGGGGCCAAACGTAAAACTTTTAACGAGGTACAAAAAGATGAGCTTTTAAGAACCGAGCACAGTCCATATAGTGCTATAACGCAAACATATTTAAGCAAAATTGAAGCTAGATCTAACACAGCAAACATCGAGTAACAGTTATGTAAATAATTGTTAGTTATAATTTCCCACTCAACAATATAAATGTTATATAACGCGTGTTTTATATAACAGTGTTATATTGTTGAATTAAGATATTCGGTCTTCAACCGGACCTTCTTCAATGATAATACAAGTCAAGAGTTATAAAAGATTACGTGGTTATATATCAAAAGTCAAAACAGTTATGCAAGTCAAGCGAGAGAAGAGAAAGATTCTTACTTCTCCGCTATTTGGGACACGGTACTTATTATTCCATCCGAGATGGTTTTTTGGCTTTCCTATCTTTTTGTGAACTTACTTTTGTCCTTCTACTGCCGTAATTTCAGAAGTGAAATTGCTGCTCCATCCTGGTGTCTTTATCTCCTGGATATCTCGCGCTATGTGCGCTATGTTACATTGATGAGTGACACGTGTGATAGTATGAGCATTGCGTTTCCTGAGTATGCAGCTGAGTGGATTTGGGCAGTTCCACTTTAGTATCTTTTCTACTACATTTATTTATTTATCTCTACGGAACCTAGTATTTCTGCTTCTAATGGATTGTGTCTCTGGAGGAGGTACTTTCGCGACATTCAATCTCTGTCTTCTCGCTTGACTTGCATAACTGTTTTGACTTTTGATATGTAACCACGTAATCTTTTATGACTCTTGACTTGTATTACCACTGAAGAGAGTCCGATCGAAGACCGAAATATCTAAATTGTTATATTAGATTAAGCTTAAGAACTGCGCTCGGCTCTTAAAAACCCATTTTTTGTATCTTGTTTTACATTCATCAGAATTTTTATCCAGATTCTCCATAAAAGTTTTAATTTTTTGCTAAAATAACATTATACTCTCTAAATCTGAATGAGTGAATTTCATTGAAAAACAGTGAATAACACTGATTAACAATGTTAAATATGCCACTGAACGAATCAATGGCATATTTAGCATTGTTAATTAATGACTACTCACTGTTCTTCAATGAAATCCACACTGAGAGAAGAATTTAATAAATATTATCAAAATTTGGTTACTATTACTAAATGGTAGACGTAAATATAGCGGGCCAAAACTATGGCAATACTTATTAATTAATTTAGTTCTGTAAAATAAATTATTTATTTGACAGAAGTACAGATATTTTACAGAAGTAAAATTTATTTGCTTCCAGAATATATTTGGTAAATAAAACTTATTGAATAGTTGAGCAAAATAAGCGATTTTGTAATAGTTACAAAATGTTTGGTAGGTTCAACCAACCATCTGTAATAATAGATATTGAAACGATGTAATAGCTGCAATGAATGAATTTTTCTTTGTGCTACAACAAAACATACTTATATTGGTAACAAAATAGAATTCGTACTTACTGAATCTTTTATTACATGGGATAATTTCATAACAATTATCAAATAACTGTTCATAACTGTAATATATTTCATATTAAATATTTAATATTAAGACTATTACTAAATTATTTAATTTATGTTACTGTGAATGCAATTACGTCATACTCCCGATCTATTAAATATTTGGTAATTATTATCATATTTAGTATTAGTTATCAAGGATTCAACGAATTTCTGTAACTAAATGCAGTTTGTTATACTTACCAGTCTTTTCTCTCAGTGTGCTGATTTAGATTTGGAGAGTATATTAATGTAGTTAATAAATAAAGTATATTAGATTTGGTTTCCGGATTTTTCTTTATTTGATTCCGAACATTTCGCGAACATTATAGTCCGCTTCACACAGAGAGAACGATTTGGTTGAATCAAATAAACGCTTCTTTGGAATAGTCCAAACGAATTTTTCGATTTATCAAACAAAATTTTGTTTGAAGTAACAAAAATATTTATTTGCGGCTTAGTTCCAAAGAAATATTTTTGTTGTGTCAACCAAATAATTCGTTTGGATTATTCCAAAGAAACATTTATTTGAGTCAATAAATCGTTCTCTCTGTGCATCAGAAGCTCTCAGGAGCAATTCGGCATCGAGTCGTTCCTCCCTGATGAAGCGGACTGAAATGTTCGCGAAACGTCGGAATCAAACAAAGATGAATCCACGCGGCTCAAACCGGGAAACCAAATCTAATATGCATGGACACCGCGAAAGCCTAAAATATCAAAATATCAAAGTAAAAAATAATTTAATAAAAAGTGAAAATAAAAAAAATATACCTTTAAGAATAAAATTATAGTAGCGAAAAGATTAATGTCCCAACATTTATTAAATTTAAGATTACTAAATATTTTGAACTAACCGTATCCCGTTCTACGTATGCATTCGCCATGACTACTTGAGAAATCGGAAACGATGTTCAAAAGTAGCCGTAATAGTTTGACAGTTTGAGGCTTAGTTCGCGTAAAATGATCAATAGGAGATCAGCAATCATGAGTAATCAGCAAGAACGTGATACAATACAGTGAAAATATATTTAAAGGATATTGGTACATGAACAAGGTAAATCTTTCAAGAACCGCTATAAAAAGAAGAGTAAGAGTATCGAAAGAATATATCACTCTCTTGCGTGATTATGCGTAACGCATGAGTAGATGGAAAACATTGACTCACGTGAACTAAACCTCAAGCCGTCAAATTGTCACGGCTGCTTTCGAACATCGTTCCCGATTCCTCGGATGCTCGATAGTTATGATAAATGCATATGTAGAGAAGGAGACGGCTAAAATACCTACCAATTCTAAGTCTAATAAATGTTCAAGCATTAATAAAACTTGTGTGTACTTGACGCTGTTTAAAAGAAAAACGCGAGTAACTCCGTCGAATTTTTCGCAGTTTGTAAAAATCGTCAAGCAAAGGAAAAATGCCGCATATTTCGTGTTATTGAATTATCATGCAAATGAATTAATTTGTAAAATTCAAAGACTTTCGTCACACACATACAATAATCGTCTAATACAAATTTGAAAAATGTAACTTACAATGATTACTTATGATTATTTATATCTATTCGACGGATCTATTTGACGGTTGTAAAGGGGAGAAGAAATCATTATAAAATGATTATAATACTAGATGATATTGATGCGATCTTTGCGAGGATTATCAATTCATCCCACGTCTCACGCACTCGGCGTTTCTTTCTCGTCGCTGAATCGTAACGTTAATCGCCTGCACTTTACCGCGACAATTGGCTATCTTGGTCACGTTTAAGCAGTACACATGTGACATAAATTTCGTCATGAATCCCAATAAGGTGTCGATGTGTCGATCTCGGCGAGACTTTCGAAACTACACTTACGTCACTTTAAGGATAAACGACTCGACCGAACTTGCAGCACTCGCGAACAATCAACACCGTAGCGGGAACCTAATTTCGCGACGGGAGTTACGAGTAAAGTTTCCGATTCTCTCCCCCGACAGCTCGATGCTCGATATTCCGACGAGCCTGCAATACGAGGAGCTTCCTGCACGAGGACTCTCGTGGCGGAGTACGCGGCGATGAAGGTAGGCTTGCGAGTCACGGGACGTCCGGTTTGATCGCCCCGCTCCCGCTCTGTTACAGGTGATAACAATTGTGTACAACGTGAAGTCGGCCCGAAAGCAATTGTATGCGTCTGTAACTCGACGTATTGCGACTTCACATCGGATATACAAGTGCAAGAAAATCAATTTGTCTGGTACACTTCCACTAGAAATGGCGAAAGGCTGCAGAAATCAGTCGCCAACTACTCCAAGTCTATATCCGAGCCTGTATCCAGCGATGTTATCCTGATAGCAGACAGTAGTATAAAATTTCAAAAAATATTTGGATTTGGTGGAGCGATGACAGATGCCGCCGCGCTCAACATTAGAACCCTCAGCACTGCGACCCAAAAGAACCTAATTGAGTACATATATGATTATGAAATATCTAATATACAAACAATATAAGCTCTGCAGATAAATTTTATTGATAATTTTTATTGATAAGTAAATTTTATTGATTATTTCATAATCTAACAAATGAATACGGACATAAAAAGCCAAGTTACGGATGTTATGTGTTTAATAAAAAATTAATAGATATAAAATAGATGTTTTGACCATTGGATGTGGTCCTCTTCAATTCTGAAGACTCTTCAGAATTGAAGAGAACCACATCCAATGGTCGAAACATCTATTTTGTATCTATTAATTTTTTTAAACACGTAACATCCGTAACTTGGCTCTTTATGTTCGTATTATTCATTTGTTAGATTATGAAATAATCAATAAAATTTACTTTGAGCAAGCGACTCCCAAAGATACGTACAAAAAGACAGACGAAAGTCGTAGAATGAATTTTAATGAGTGACGCGTTTTTTATCTTAAAGAAACTTCGTTCTGAATCATGAGTTTATATTCAGCAGGTAAAATTATACAGGATGTCCCATTTTAGCTCAGATACCGTAATACCTGGAAAATGCGTTTTCAAAAAAAGTGTTTTCAACAAAAATTGTAGGATATCAAAGAAGAAAGAAGATAGTAATATTTCCTCTCTTTTTACTTTAAAATGACTTTGAAAAACCTTGTCAAAGTCAACTCTAATTTTTTAAATGGATTTATATAGTTTTTTTTAAACATAAACAAATTCCTCTGGCCATTCTGCGTATAAAAGTACTGGCATAATCATCGAAAACTGAATATTTTTCGAGATATTTTGTCTCGACTCTTGGGAAAATTACGATAACTTTGGCGACGCAAAATAAAAATGGATTTTAAAAATATTTTAAATGTAGAAAACCAAAAACATAATAAAAACTAAGAGTCACTACAATTGTTTATTTTTTATGCTATAATAATTTTGTTTATTTTTGTTCACGATTTCCAATACGCACTACTTTGCGTAGAAGTCTTACTAATCTCCTCGTTATCTATTATTTTTAGTATCTCATAGACTAATTTCTTTTTTAATTTAGTTTATTAGTTATAATTCAGTTTATTAATTATAAATAAGCAAAGATTTAATAAATATAATCCAAACCAGTCTATATCTTATTTTAAAGATATACATTTATGCATGTATTTTTTAACAATCAACATTCTCATAATATAAGGGCAAGATTAGATTAAATTTTTAGCAAGATGAAGTGCTTCGCCTACCAAAAAAATTTTTTTACGCTTATGTTTGATACTAAATGCATACGATATGTTAACATTAACTGGTATATTTCTTAAACATTTTTGTTAATAACTTTCCAATAAACAAAAAGTGCTAGTTAGCTTTTAAAACCTTTTAAAAGTTACTCAGGGGCACAAACTTGATAATGCATGCTAACTAAATCGTGTCGCTAAAGTTATCGTAATTTTGCCCGACACTTTTCAGCATAAAATATGAAATATCTCCTGAAGTACATACTTTTCGGTAACCTCACTTTAATACTTTTATGTACAAAATGATGAGTAAAATCGATTGTTGTAAAAAGAAAATATACAAAAACTTGAAGCAAAATTCTGTGCAAATTTATTAATACACCAGTATGCAAAAATTAGTATTACCAATCGATTTTTCTCTTTATTCTACGTACGTAAACGTTCAGATGAGGTAGCCGAAAAGTTCACGAGATATTTAATATCTTGTATTGAAATGTAAAGATGTGAAATAATAAAGTGTAATGTATCTCGGGAAGTATTCACTTTTCGATGATCTTATCCCAGTACTTTTGTACGCAAAAGAAAGATTAGAGAAATAAATTTTTGTTTAAAAAACCATGATTTCATTTAAAAAATTAAGATAGACTCACATGATGTTTTTCAAAGACATTTCAAAGTCAATAAAATATTACTATCTTTTTTCCCCTCGATATCCTACAATATTGTTCAACAAATACTTTTTTTTGAAAATGCATTGTTTTATCTTAACTTATGTAGGATCATTCAAAAGACGACAAAAAAGAATAACAAGATCGTATTTCGAACGCTCGAGTCGCAAATTTACGCAATTATCTCTCATGTGTAGTTTCTTTCAGGTCGTATTATGGTATCAATGGTAGCAGATACACCTTTTGCCGCATACCTATCGCAGGTACCGACTTCTCAACGAGACCGTATACGTACGACGACATACCCAACGACATTACATTAAGTAATTGGAGCCTCGTGGAGGAGGATGACTACAAGATCAATTATCTGCATCAAATAAAGAATGTCATGTCCAAGCCGGAAGATCTGAAAATATTTACTACTGCGTGGTCCGCACCAAAATGGATGAAAAAGAGCAACGAGATAACGTGGGGTAATTACGACATGATGATATACAAAATTTTATTTACAAAAAGAACGAAAATAAAAAGAAAATTGAGTCCTGGCTTTTGAAAACTGTGTCGCCAGAAGAAGCGCACGTTTTCTTTAAAAACGAAATCTAATCTGCAAGAGATTCGTTACTATCGTCCGAAACCAATCTGATTCTCTTCGAAATAAATTGTTAAATATTGATAAAGATGTAAGAGACAGATTTTTAGTAAGCACTTAAGGTTCCTGTATCCTCACTTTGACTGTCCTTGTTTAATAATGTCAGAAGCAGAAAAATGCATGTCAATTTATATTGCACTATACATGGAAAAAAAACATGCATAAAATGACAATCTTGATCGATTCAATACACTTGCAAAAATATCCACTTTTCTTTAACCTCAATACATAAAAATTAATGTAACATACAACTTGCGTTTTTTACCTATCTATCTGTTCCCCTGATTTTTATTGCGTTAATTTTACGGTTAAAGGAAAGTGTTTGAACATTTTTACAATCACAACTATCATTTAGTATGTGTATTCTTTGATTTCTACCGTAATATAAATTGGCGTGTAATTTCTGGTTTCTGACGTCAAATAAGGACAGCCATAACAAGGACCCAGGAGTCTTATATATAAACTCAGTTTTAAGGAATAAAACAACTCTAAAAAGCTAATTTCTGATTTTAAGTAAATATCTATAAGAATCTATAAAAAACTATAAGATATCTAAGACAATGTTTTAAATAGAAGTTTGATGCACGCGTTTAGTTTTTTTATTAGCTAATAATTGCTCTCTTTAGTTGCTCTTCGAATGAAAATGAGTGCGCAATTGTGAATCACGAATCACGATTGATTAAACATTGCTTTAGTGTGTCTCATGAAAAACAAGTACAAATTAAATAACAACGTGTATGAATGTTTTCGCGTAACAAGCTTATATTCATAGCTAATCAAACTATCTTGATATAATACAGACTTGCGAAAGACATCCAAGCGTTAAGCATTATTAATTCAATCAACTCAATTAGCTTGGAGGATGTATTTGATCCCTTCAAACTGAGTTTGGATACGTGTTACAAGAAAAGCACATGTCTCTCTCTCTTAGGTTTTTACATATAACAGCACATTTCAATAAAAATTAAATCGGTTTCGAACATTTTGGCAGATCTCTTGTTAATATCGCGATACTCTTTAAAAACTCGAAGATTATGTATAATTGTATACAAAAAATAGATCGCGCAATAAAATGCAATGGTCTAACAGGTCCCCTGAAACCTGAATTCTATCAACTCTATGCTGATTACATACTTAAGTTCTTCGACGCGTATAAGGAACGCGGTATCGATATATGGGGTATGACGCCGGGCAACGAGCCGATAGACGGACTTTGGCCGTTCTTCCCATTCAACGCTATGCTATGGACTCCCGAGACTGAGGGGATTTTTTCCGTAAATAATTTACGTCCAACCTTATCCAAGGCTGGATACAATCCTGTTTACATGGCAATGGATGATCAACGCTTTGAGATCCCCACATTCTCTAATTTGCTATTCAACAATAAGGAAGCCAAAGAAATGTTCAATGGTACCGCGTTCCATTGGTACGAGGACCAAATTACCAAGCCAAAACGATTGGATGAATTGCACGATATGTATCCGGACAAGTTCATACTGATGACCGAGGCGTGCGCCGGTAAGCATACATCATGTGTATTACATCGTCTTGATGAAACGAAGTAACGAAAACCTCTTTACAATAACATCTTTGAGAAGACTCAAAATGAATCAACGTGATCCTTTCCTCGTAGGTAGCAATCCTTTAGAGATAAAAAAGGTAGACCTTGGATCGTGGCAGCGAGGAGAGGAATATATATTGGATATAATCGAGGTTTGTACATGTTATAGTCACAGAATTTGAGATCTAAGTCTGAAAATAAGCCTATTCTCAGATTTTGCCTACTTAATGCAAAAATAACATATATTCGATATAGCTATAAGATATAAATCTGACGATCGTTTTAACTTTAAATGCATGGTGAGAATTTTCACAGATATCAAGAACTATTTGAAATGACTCTACTTAGCTAATCAAACTTTGCAGAGTATTAGGGAATTTCTTAATAATACGCAATTATTATATATGGAGACGACAGTACAGAATAGATCGCAAACCAGATATCGAGTTACTTATATATTTTCATAATTCTATTATGAAAATCACTAATGTGTTTCTAGAATTTGTCACATTGGACAACTGGATGGGTGGATTGGAATTTAGCGCTTAACGAAAGTGGCGCGCCGAATTGGGCTAAAAACTTTGTGGATTCACCCATTATTGTAATACCGGAGGACGATGAGTTTTACAAGCAACCTATGTATTATGCGATTTATCACTTCAGCAAATTTGTCCCACCTAATTCCATAAAAATTTTCCACACCGAATCTAATAACAGCGTCAATTCCATAGCTTTCTTGACGCCCGAGGGAAATATTGTTTTCGTGATCGTAAACAAGTTAGTAAAAAATATATTTATCGTTAATATCAATGATCTTGTTTACACTGATCGTTTAATACGTATACCAGCACTAGAAAGTACTATTTTGTACTAAATTATCTTTATCTCAATAATACGTCCAATTTACTCAATAATAACGATAGTATATTAAATTGAAATGTCTTCTTCTCGCTTCTGACCTCTCGCATTGTCTATCTCTTTTTAATGACGTCAGAAGCGAGAAAATGCCTGCTAAAAATTCTTGCGAAATACGTTAAAATAAAAATTCATATCCATAAAGTAATACTCGCAATCGATTAAACAAATTTGTAAGATATTCCGTGCACTCCCCTTTTGCTCTAACAATCAAATTACAATAACTTATTGTAAATTAACTTGGAATGCGAAAAAATAGGTTAAGAAGATGAATTGTGTGTCACGTTAATTTACGACAAATTATTAATTGTTCATTTTCTCGCTTCTGAAAGAAGTATCATTAAAAAGAGATAGACAATGCGAAGGGCTAAGAGCCTTAATGCATATCCTATAAGCTTGGTTCATTTATGTGCATTATCGAAATTAAAGTAATTTAATAAAATTATTAGTTGGTATACATATCAGATAATATGTGTGAACAAGCATGATATGTATTATGCATGTTATTCCGAAAGAGTGATTCTAATATCGGAAGGAATATAGAATCAAATTTCTGGATTCCTTTCTAGATACCATATACAATCTTTGAGATAATATACTGTATATATTTTATGAAATAATCCAATATTTTCTGTCACAGACACGAGGAGCCTTATAATGTCATCATTCAAGACAAGATGACGCCGAGCAAACAGATACATCTACAAATACCTGAAAAATCTTTCACCACGGTGCAATATCGCGCAACATAATAATGTAGAAGCTTGATTGTTAAAATCCTAGAAACGAAACATGTATTTACAAATGCTCGCCGTACTCGTTAAAAGAGGAATCGAGGCTATGTAAAAACGTTAATATTATCATATAAACTTTTTTTTGAGAGGAACCAAGATGGATCGTATGGATTATACGGAATGTGTCGTTGTAAAAATTGATAATCACTTTTTTATATAATCACTATTATATTTATGTATGTTTAACATACTGTAAATATACCTTAAGTCACGGGTAGTATGATTTTGCAAATCGTCCTATCTTCTTTTTCTTGGGGTTCTCTCGTAAACACTTTGGTATATAAAGTGGCTTATGATCATCAAATCTACGTCTGTACAGATTAATTCCGCGTTCAAATGGTTCTCGTTTCTTATCCATCGGACGAGTCTTATGGTCAATTAGATAGATCTTTTGCCAGTGATATATATATGGTAAGCGTCTAAAAAAGATGTATCGCGGGTTAGCATATAAAGTATTTTCTTTACCATGAATCGGTTTACTATTTAAATGAAAGATTTCCAATAAAGATATAATTATTAAAATGATAACGTTATTCTTTCATATGTACCTATGCCGCGGCCTGTTGCTTACGAGATGTTTGTAGTTGTTTTCGAGCCAATTCCTTCTTTCATCGTGTTCTATATCGGCTATTACTTTCACGGATTTTCCCAAATACGGTTTCATATCCACCCCTATCCTCTCTTCAGGCACATTCACGTAAAACCGGATCAAGTTCTTGAGAACCTCTTCATTTAAACCATGAATTTTTTCATCTTCTATCTTGTCAAATAACTTCATTGGTTCCGTAACCCAGCATATATTACGTTTTGGATTTGTATCTATGTGCTCAGAATACATTAATAAAGTATTAAGTTGGTAAGCAAAAAACGACCACCACTGTCCATCTGTTATAATTGTTTGAGTAGTCAGTGGATACGTTATTTCGTTGAATGTAGAGAAACCTGAAATTTTACGCATAATTATATATCTATAGTTCTAGAATTTAGTTAATTTAATACACAATCTTAATGTAAAAAATCTTGTAATAATTCCATAAAAATACCTTGATAACAAGCTTGTGTCAATAACCAACTATAGGATGCTAATATGGCTTGTACTATTTTCGCATCTAACGTATCGTCAAAACACGGTAATCTTTTGTGCAAATAGGCACAATTGTGATAAGATAACAACCCAAAATCATTTTCATCACCGGGCCAAAATCCAGGTATATTAGTCACATGTTTCCGCTTCAATAAGTAACCCATTGTTACAGGAAAATACTTGAACGTAGGCACATCCAAATCTGGATTTTCACACTCACTTAGAGAAATAATCTCTTTTAGAGGATGCTTATATCTCAAATGTACAACAGGCTGACCCAGATACTGAACAGGAAAATTTATCGGCTCGTCAATATAATTATCCGGTAGTTTTCTTTTTCTTCTATATTCTTTTAAATTCTCTGGAGGTTCTAAACCCATAAACCAAGATGCTTCCAATCTTGGCTCAATATCAACTTCAGCATTTAATAAATGTGAGTACTTAGAAGATAGATGAGTTAATATTGTTCTATTAATTCTCTCAATTATAGCTTTGGAAACAATACCTTCCATTTTTTCTTTACTTTTAAAATCCTCATCACTTAGTTCATGCCTCCTGCTGCAATATTATGAAAATTATTACATATAAATAATATAAAGACATAAAGTTAATATATATAATATCTGATTGAATATAACTTGAACATAAACAAATGATCACAAATTACTGGCAATCAATGATTTTATAATTTTTCATAATCTAATAATAGTTCTCACTTGAGCATGCCTGCTTTATTCTAGATATAACAAGATAAAATAATGTTTAATTAACAAAGCAATATAAATTTACTAACTGTCGGCTACAGTATTCAAAAGCTATATCATCTGCTATGTTGTTTTTAACTGCTTCCACAATACTATCCAATTGTTCGGTAGAGATCACATTGTTATAATAAGTTGGAAGACCAGGTTCTTTCATAACATGTGTTCTTGTAATATACTGTGTGTATTTCAACACACCATACGGTATCCTGCCTTCTTCTAAATACAACAGTTTCCAGCCATAATATTTTGGCATGTTGACTTTGAACAGTTTCTCTTCTACAGTTTCCAAATTCCTGATCTCTTCATACCAAGCTTCCTCTCGTCTTCTCTTTTTAGCTTTGAAACTCAAATCTTCAATAGGTAAATACAATGACTCTGTGTTGCATGTCATATCCTTGACTTCGCTGACAGTGGAAGTACTGTACTTCCATTGCTTACTATACTTTACTACCGTGTTGAACAATAGTTTTTGTCGAATTTGAACAAACATGCTTTCAAATAAAAACTATCGGCAGAACAGTGATTAACAGAACAATATCTCACAAGATTATGTCGTATGTAATTGTTCGGCTTAACAGCGCAAATTAGTTACTCTAATAACTTTTATCTAAAAAAAATAATAAGCATATATATTTGACATCAATTAACGTTAACATTTGAAACCAAACGATGTGATCAACTTACTTTAATTCGGTGATGATCAACTTACAGATAATATTATATTATGAAAACAGTTTTATTTCTCCATTGTCGCAGCACTCCTATATGAAAACATATAGAAGATTTGTTCTTTCCAGCTGAACTTCTTGCACTAGTTGAAAAAGTGTACACTGGCAAGTTCTTTCTTGCAGAAGTGACATAAGGGCAAAACTCTACTCGACGGATAGAGTAGCATTTAATTGACTAATAAGAGCAAAGAAAACTAGAATTTCTTTATCATGATTGGACAATTAAATGTACTCTACCTATCGAGTAGGTTTTGGAACGCAGCCCAAAGGTTACTGTTCTTTCCAACGGTGCAGCAGAACTTATAGCGAATTCGGTAGCTTGCACTTGTGCGCACTGAGTGCGCATTAAGGCTTGTTTACAATACATTCTTATATTTAAGATCGTGTCTTAAATACATATTTAAAAACATTTTAATTAATACAATGATTCGTACGGATGTTATACATATCATATGGTTAAAAATATTTGAGAATTTATTTGAGAATTATTTAAGACAATCTTTAAATATAATAACATACTATGAACAAGCCTTAGTGCGCACTCAGTGCACACTAGTGCAAGCAACCGAATTCGCTATTAGTTCATTGAACTGCTTATACTGAGTCTGGAGTTAGTGCAAGAAGTCCGGTGCAGCGCAAGGGTAAAAGTTACTGTACCAGTGCAAGTAGTTCAGATGAAAAGAATAGAAGTTTGTTCTTTTCAACTGAACTAGTGCTGTACTAGAAGGTTAGGCGACAGTTTCCCGAAAAGTGGAGGGGATAATGTTGGTACCAAAAAAAATCTCTACACGATATAATTTAAAGATCTGTTCTTTGTAACTGCACACTGCTAAACTAATGCAAAAGGTTAGAGTGAGAAAACATGTACTTGCCTCACTTCAATTTATTGCACCAATCCAGCAATGTTGTTATAAAGAAGAGATGTTTTAATTGTATTGTGTAGAGATTTTCCTTGATACCATCATTATCCCCTCCACTTTTCGGGAAACTGTCGCCTAACCTCAAATCACACTAGCGATTAGCGATTAATGGTGACGATTAAAGATTGGAACTTGACCAATTGGAACAAAGCAAGCCAAGGTTGAATGACCTGATTCGTCAAAATCTAATCTTCAATCGTCAATCGTCAATTGCTAGTGTGATTTGGCTTTTAATGGATGCATTTAGTACTACAACCGTTCACGGAGCGCTCAGTGAGCTCTTAAGGCTATTCTACAATAGCTAAGAATATGGCTGTAAGTCTGTAACGTGAGCTGTCAACGAATGAAAATAATTCATTTCGAATCTTACAGCTTTACAGCCATATTTTTACAGCTATTGTAGAATGACCTTTACATTTCATTGATCCATATTTTTAGATCTAAAGGAATAAGCCAATGGGAAACAAGACCTCACTGAGCGCTCAGTGAGCGGTTGTAGTACTGAATGCACCCAATGTAGAACGACCTTTTCGGAACACTGTTGGTAGTACTGACAGTTGGTAGTACTTGCAATAAATAACGAAACGCAGCCTTAAAAAACACCAGTGCAGTGCTGTGGGAGTTCGCGATATTTTCTAGATGATATGCGCATGCGTGAAATGACGTACAGCTCGATGTAAGCAGTTTCTAATGACGGCGTCAAGATGCCAAACATGGGAGCGTTCCAGCGTCGAGCGTTAAAGCGTTAGCCAATCAACGTATCAGGTTCCAGAAGTATAATTGTAGTTCTTGCGGAAAGTGGCACGTTGATTGGCTACCGCTTTAACGCTTGACGCTCGATGTTCCCATGAAAAAGTCCCCTTAGGCACGAGTAGAGGGTTCTTAGGGGACATGCACAAAATGCTCGGCCGCTGTGTGTTTGCCCGCGTGTGGTTAGGTTAGATAGGTAGTGAAATTATATAGGGTGCTTTCCAGTTGCGTACACTGTGTCACACAAAACCAGTTTATTGGTTGCATATTAACTTACAAGATATTTTAGATAATATGTGACCAATAAACTAGTTTTGTGTACGTGTGTGTCAAGATGTGTTAAGCAATTGGAAAGCACCCATAATAATAAATTAGTATAATTAATATAGTTATAATAATTAGTATAGCTATGTAAAATGTAATATTATAATATGTATATATAGTATATATTAATAAATAAAGTGTGATAAAAAATGCAATTTTAATATAAAGTGATATTGTGATAAAGAAAAGTGCAATTATAATATTAAGTTAATTAAAGAAAAAAGTGCCGTATTGAAGAAAGAAATAGAGAAATCAACACTAGCCTTCGTCATCAAGTGGCATCGAGGCAAAGAAGAGGAAATGTGCGAGAAGAAAATTCCAATATGCATGGTTAAATATGAATATTTTCAAAGATTGGTCGACTACAGAAATTACAAAATAAAAAATATATTTATTTTTACTTATGAACAGCATTCTATTTCTTCCCACAAACTTTCTTTTCTCCCTACAATCCCTTCATATTTTCTTTTAGGTGAGGGATTTTACGATACCTTAAAATAGATACGGCGCTGAAGTTACCACAGAGTTTGCTCAATGCGCGTGCGCGAAAATATATCGCGAACTCCTAACACTGCATCAGTGTACGTCTGCCGTTGTTGCCATTATTCGTTTGACAATTATAAATACTCATTATTTAGAAATTATTCATGTTTCTGTGAATTACAGCTACTGAAGAAAAAGTAAAACGTTATCGTATGTTACACAAATTTTCACGATGACGGAAAAAGTACGAAGATATGAGAAAATTGATTTTTTGGGCGAAGGACAGGTTAGAATCGATATTTGCTTTTGTAATTCTATATTTGTAATTTTTTGTACATTATAACTTATATGGTATTATTTTTCAATGTATTTTGTAATATATATGACGCAAAAATTAGTCATAAATTTATTTATCTATATATATATGTGCTACATGTTGTATGTTTCAGTTTGCTACAGTTTATAAGGCCAAAGATATTGAAACAAATAATATTGTAGCTGTGAAAAAGGTTGGTTGCTTTCTAGTAACACATTTATCACAAATAATGTACTCCCTATAATAAATTATATATCAATTTTTACAGATTAAAGTAGGAAGTCGCGCAGAAGCCAGAGATGGTATAAACAGGACTGCTTTACGCGAGATCAAACTGTTGCAAGAATTAAAGCATGACAATATCATTGGTCTATTGGGTAATTATTTTTAATATAGGCATTTTTAAAAGAGTAAACAATAATATTACATAAATATATCACAATTTTCATATAATTTATGTAATTGTTCAAATTTTAGATGTCTTTGGCTATAAATCAAATGTATCATTAGTGTTTGACTTCATGGATACTGATCTGGAAGTAATAATAAAGGATAGCAACATAGTTCTAACTCCGCCTAATATCAAGGCATATATGATCCAAACACTGCAAGGATTGGATTACCTTCACTTTAATTGGATACTCCATAGAGATTTAAAGCCAAACAATTTATTAGTGAATTCAGAAGGTGTTCTGAAGATTGGAGACTTTGGCTTAGCAAAATTCTTTGGCTCACCTAATCGAATAAATACTCATCAAGTAGTCACTAGATGGTATAGAGCACCTGAATTACTTTATGGAGCTAGACTTTATGGAACTGCTATTGATATGTGGGCTGCGGGTTGTATATTAGCTGAGCTTTTGCTGCGAGTACCATTTTTGCCTGGCGAATCCGATTTAGATCAGCTCACAAGGATATTTCAGGTTTTTACATCTCGTTATACACACACACATATATATATATATAAAATATTGTTTCACCATATATATTTCAAATTCTTTCTTTTGTCACACACAATCTAAAAGAAGCATTTGGTCTGTTCTTTTTAGCTGCACTACTAAACTGGTGCAATAAGTTAGAGTGAGAAAACATATATTTGTCTCACTTTAACTTATTGCACCAGTTCAGCATTGCAGCTGAAAAGAACAGACCAATTAACTAATTCTTCTGTAACCTTAAATGTTTTATTATTTTTAGACATTAGGTACTCCAACGGAAGAAACGTGGCCGGGTATGCTTGAATTACCGGATTTTATTCAATTCAAGCCCTTTCCCGGGACGCCGTTGAAGCACATATTTACCGCCGCCGGTGATGACCTTTTAGATTTAATCGCTAGCCTTTTAAACGTGAATCCACTAGAAAGATGTACATGCGATCAAGCGCTGCAGATGCCGTATTTCAGCAATAAGCCCGCTCCAACACCTGGGCCCAAGTTACCTCTGCCTACAGCTATTAAACGGCAACCGGAAGAAAGGCCCAGCCTGAAGAGGAAATTACTGGAATCGGCGGACGGTGCTTCGTTAGCCAAAAGATTGCAATTTTAACGATAATTGATATTAGAACAAATAAAATTGTTCTAATATCATCATAAAAAATTTCTGTAATAAATCAGTCAAGATATCCTGTTGTTTCATCGATCTGTAATCTACAATAAGTGGCAAGTTCAAAAAGATTACAGGAACAGATATCTGTAATCTGATACTGCATGTGCAAGTGTATCACATTGCAACGGACAATTTTGTACAATAAAAGTACATTACTTAAATTTTTATGATAATGATATATACTCGTGTGTCTATACACATACAAGAAGCATGTGTGATTGTACATTAAGGCAAATCTGATTCTAATAATCTGATATTGAAACAATATATTTAATAGAATTAATAGATTAATAGAAATATTAATGCGGTAGTTTTACATCTGAACGCATCGCGCAGGTGTTTTGTGACAATAATAATAATCTGTACGAGTGAATGTGAGGGAGAATGGGATGAGAATATACAATGGGTAGTAATAATGTTTGTTAAAAAAATACAACATTACGCTGTTATTTTTATTAAGGCTCCTGGGGAGTCGCATCATCCATCTCTTTTTAATGACGTCAGAAGCGAGAAAACGCATGCTAAAAATTCCTGCAAAATACGTCGAGATAAACAGATATATCCACAAAACGACATTTGCGATCGATTAAGTACATCTCTAAAATACTCCGTACACTTTCCTTTTGTTCTAAAAATCAATAGATAATCGGAAAATTAATATGACAAGATAATGAGGAAATTAGGTTAGAAAAGACGATTGCACGTCACATTTATTTTATAATTATCTGTTGATTGTTAGAACAAAAGGAAAGTGTACGGAGTATTTTAGAGATGTACTTAATCGATCGCAAATGTCGTTTTGTGGATATATCTGTTTATCTCGACGTATTTTGCAGGAATTTTTAGCATGCGTTTTCTCGCTTCTGACGTCATTAAAAAGAGAAGGATGATGCGACTCCCCAGGAGAGCCTTAATTCAAAAACGAGCTAAAAACGTCTGGTTATTTGAACGAAATGTAAACCGTGAGATATTCAAATAATAATATCTTTGAATAATAATAAAAATAAATGTCAACCAGCTAATCACAAATCACCAAAGCGCTGGTCTCGTTGAATGATTTTACTTTTCAACAAAATTGACTATCACTGCCGATTTTTTTTTTTTTTTTGAAAAGAAACAGAGAAATTGAAATATAAGTTACAAACATTCTTCGAAAACTTACGATTCACGGGAAATCGACGAATTTTCATCGACGGACACTTTGTTAAGCCCATGATTCTGCTGAAACATGCTTTGAAAATAATGCTCCTACTATATCGATTGATTGTACTGCGTCAAAAGTGTCTAACTACCGCCAACATATACGATATATTATACTGAATGTCTCACAACTAGTGATGCAGCTAAAAAGAGGATAATTTTTCATTGAAAGAAATAAGCAAAAGATGCATGATACAATTTTCGAATAATTCCTTCATAAAGAATCACTCCTTTCTCAGTTGAATCGTCAAAGTCACGAGACACTCTGCGTACTACATACTACATATGTGATTATATCCATACACATATAACTGTAAATAAATAAATACTGCTGTGCAACAAAAGTACAATTTAGTACAAGATCATTCTTAATTTATTATATTATTAATGCACATATCAACATGAGTCGGCCGTGCTCGGATTTGATGAACGGAAAAACTGCCACTGTCTCTCGATGTACAAAACGCAAAACGGATGCCTTAAGTTTAACGACAGGCCACGCGAAGAGCCCCAGGCGAAATTATATATCTTACATATCTTACGTACAAAGCGCAACTTAGTGTGAGAAGTGCATTTGAATACTGAAGCAATATTTGAGACGCTTATGTGCTATGTCATGTACTACACACATACATGCATATATATACAGGGAGTCCCATTTTAACTTTCACATCGAAATATCTCGAAATGTACAAAAAATACGGAAAAATGTTTTAAACAAAAGTTATATGGTTCGATAGAAGACATAAGAAGGTACTATTGGTTTGACCTTGGGTGATGCTACCAAGGTCAGATCGAGGTCAACTTTGCTTTTTTAAATAGAAACATATTTTTAGTACGGAATTTTATTCTACATAAAGAAACAAACAACTTTTGTTTGAAAAAATTTTTATAAGACCTAAAATATTTCTAATTTTCTAAGATATTTCCGTAAATATGTTCTTAAATATTTCTCCATCGTAAATATGTTCTCCATCGAACCATATAACTTTTGTTTGAAATATTTTTCCGTATTTTTTGTATATTTTGAGATATTTAGGTGTGAAAGTTAAAATGGGACACCTTGTATATGTATGTATGTATATGTGTATGTATATATATATATATATATATATATATATATATATATATATATATATCCCATGCAGCACAAAATCTTCTGGGGACGCCCCACAGATGTCCTGAAGATGTAGAAACATCCCCAGGACGTTTTCAAGACCTACTTTGGATGTCTCCTGGATATCTGTGCTGTTAGGGATGTGTATATGTGTATGTGTATATGTGCGCGCCTTGTTCTTCTTCCCGACCCGATTATTAAACAACTCAAAAACAAAGTCTCATAAAATAAACTGCACAACTTTATCATGAAGTGCGCTTGGAGATTATGGCCATCGGTTAATTTACATATAAATATACATCGACTCTCGCAAGATTATTTTAATATGTGACAAAGCACATTTTTTTCTTTTTTTTTTTACACGTTTCTCCTCTTATATACGATGCGCGCTGTTAGCTATATTACAGATATTACAAGTATATCTTCGTTTCTTTAGACCAATATCACGAATATCTTGAAAAATACGGATAAACGATTGCGAGAAAATTCCCTTAACGAAAACGGAGACTTAATCGACATTCGTAGAAGCAATCTTAAAAAGCATCGTACATTGTGTGTAAATTATAAGTTTATGTTAAAAAGTATTGTACTGTGGTCCCCTTCATTCGGATTGAACTATAAGTAATACTTATGCGACATTTTCCCCGTATGATCAACAGTAATTGCTTCTATAAGTGTACGTGTTAATATTAGCATTTAAACATCAAAATTCTCTCGGGAAAGTAATAGAAAAACACGATGGTCGATGCGGAAGCAAACGTGGTATGAGTGATCGGTTTCAGATGAAAGATGAAACACTCTCAACGTGTGACCATCAATGCACGATCGAGATGATTTTTCGAGATGATTTTTCGTGAGAAAATATTGCGATTTACACAGAAAAGTTATGAGAGAACATGAGTACATGGATTTTTTCCTATTATGGGAGAACATGAGTACATGGATTCTTTCCTGTTACGATGTGTTGCGCCCGCGGAGAAACTTATCTCGCAAATTAGACGTGATCGCAGAAGCAATTCAGCCAGCATGCCGAAACGTATCATCGATACATCGATGGAATTATCTCGTGTCTAAATGTTTCCATGGATAACTAAGAGTTATGATAGAGATTAAGTATGTTACTACTTGACATCGCGGTTATCTTTCTATATTGCTCTCTATCTCTACGTGTATTACAACATATATTATATAATTTTGCGATCATATTAGATTTCATTAACGCGTACATTGTACAAGGAACACCTTAAATTGTAATGTTGATTTATGTAAAATGCGCCTCTGCATGGCTCTATCGTGCGATACGTTAATCCTAATACATAATACCGATAAAAAAGTTAATTTAAAAAGACCACAAAAAAGACACAAAAAGGAGTCCCTGTATAAAAAAAAACAAAAAAGAATGTAAAACGTTATATTAATGAGGAAATACTGGAGATAGTGTATCAGAAAGAAACAATAGCTCTGAATACATATACATGTACATATAAGAAGAACTAAATTACTGAAAGAGTATTATTTATTTCAGGCGAGAGATATTCAAATAAGGCAAAGATATATAATTGATACTATTTAGCAATCACATATAATATAATGCGTATTTGTATTATATTTAACTGTTCGCATTATTGTCACATACTAGTATTCGATAAAGAACGCGTACAAGTGAGAACGTTTTGAATAAATGTTCACAAAAAGTGTACACAAACTGCTATGAGAAATACAGTTACGCAAAACTATATCGAAGGTATAAGTAAATTATCATTGTCGTTACGTGTTTTTCTTTTTCCTCGGAACTCCGTGTGTCCCAATCGACTGTTGTTTGATTCACGTAATCAGTAGAGCACATGCAGCGGACCGATACACTTCGCTTCCAAATTTGATTCAGCATTTGAATTGTAACATACACATATAACAGTTTATGCAACCAACAACATTTTATGACTATGTTATAATTCTTATCTGTCTTACGTTAAGTAAGCACACATCAATGTTAAAGTTACCAAGATCTTCAAATAATATCTGTATATTTCCCCTTTTTTTCACGCACGCAATAAACAGAGATATTATCAGATGACAGTAGTAAACAGTCCTTTAGCTTTTTTTTTAGCACAGAAAATTAAAATAAATCATTTAATATATTCGATATATATACATGTACAAGATATCAGTTGACGCCGGATCGTATCAATTTCACAGGCAAAATTGTCAGCCGTGATCGACAAACCATGTACATTAACCATTTCGCCATCAATTATAATTAAAGAACTACTTATTGTAGCGTAAAAGATATTACCAAGAGAGATAGATGTGCACATAAATCAACCTCAAAAAAGACGTAGGCTATATTCTTATGCGACCGTATAAACTTACTTTTCCCATGTATGAAGAAAAACACGTTTATACATGTGTCAATACAAAGAAGTTGACCATGACAACACGGCTGTAATATTGACGAAATATTTATACAATTCCAGCCTCCTCGTTTTTAGTTTATAAATATATGTCAAATTATATATATATTTTTTTCAGTCCGTTTATATGACTATCGATAAATATCTTATCTTCACCATGCAAAAGTCGTTCGATAATGCCTTATTACTTGGTTTGTAAGCTTCGTTTTCCGGAAATACATGAAATATTCACGAAAGCTTAAAGACAATCTATTTTTGCAACGAGTTATATGTAGATCATATGTAAAATTTGCCCAATTCATTTTACTACAATCTTACCAGGATTGGCAAGTAATACGTTATTTGTAACGCCGTTACCGTTACACATTTTTTTCAGTAACCATTTCGTTACGGTGTTATTCTTCCTTGTTAGTAGCGGTAATGATAACGCAATTACATTTTTGTATAACAGTTACGAATATAATTATCATTTTGCACATTTAAAATGTCTACATAAAACATCTATATAAGAGAGACGATGACAAATTGTAAAAACAAAAAAGTATTTAAAACTGAGGAAAATAACGGAAATTATAATGACACGTTACTTCTTGAATAACGGTAACGGAGTCATTCTTAAAAAGTAATTTTTCCAACCCTGAATTTCTTATCGATGAGCAACAGTAATTTCTTCAAGAATATAATATTGACGAGAAACTCATAACGTTACACATTATAAATGATAAAAACTGCAAAAACTTGTTCAAGAGAAATCATTGTGTATTGCAAACGTCTTTTTTCGATGAGTATATATTATGATACCAAAAAAAAGAGATTATTATTGTACGAATCACTGAATGTTTGAAATTAATAATTTAAAGTAATACGCTTTTATTCACATAGAAGACGAAGTGTACATCACATATAATCAACGTAAATCAATAACGTAAACCAATGAAATTTTACGGGAGCTCGTGACGCTCTTTGTGTGTGTGTGTGTGTGTGTGTGTGTGTGTGTGTGTGTGTGTGTGTGTGTGTGTGTGTGTGTGTGTGTGTGTGTGTGTGTGGGTGTGTGTGTACAGTTCGACGATTAGGCACAACGTTCAAAAGCAAAACGAAATCCTATGATTTTTCCGTTTTAAATGATAATTTGATTGTGGAACATTACTTTCCCCGCGCGCGCGTACAGACTATTTCTCCCTAAACTTCATTGTAATATTAAAAGTAGAAATACATACTCCATTGTTGCTACTGTTTTTTTTTCACTTTAATATATTATATGTATTCAGTAGTCAGTCCAAGGCAAACTTCATCCGCGATAGTGTAATACAATATAGCTACTATCTTCGTATTTGTTTAAATCGATCTATCTATATATTACTTTCTTTTAAAAAATGTATACTTAACATTTAATATAATATATATCTCTTTAAAATATTTACAATCAATGCGCGCTATGGTACAATATTTTAAATCGTTTGTATTTCATGTTTTATAAAGGCAATTATCAATGTAACTATTATTCTTACCGTAATAGTATATTGTGTAAACGTGTTTTTTTTTTGTTTTTACAATAATCATGTTCGCACTAGATTTAATATATAGTACAAGATAGGATATTACAAGATTTTTTGACACCTCTATGCGATACTTCTATATATACACAAGGAGTGCATTACAACGCGAATTATTTCTTCCACCGTTATTGCATAGCCATTATCCTCGTACTAACGTCTCCGGTAAAATGGATCAAAAATCATCCACAGAATCGCAAATACTAAATGCTGAGTATATATTTTTTCCAATCATATCCAAAAATTTTTAATGAGAGAAATGCTTTGCAAATTATGTGATATAACCGACAATTTTGCGTATTATATTCATAAATTAACATGTCATCGGTAATACGCGTAAGTAAGTAACCGTAATCTCTATTCGTTTATTAGATACTTGAGAACAAATTGCAGATAAAATCAGAAAATGTATATTTCGCTACATTTTCCCTTAATACTCGCTTTCAACGTTGCTCCATATGAATGAATATACGAAATAAAAAAATATACAGTTTTTTCTTTTTTTCTTGTTTTTGTTGAACAAAATATCAAACGTCGACAGTGTTATTGATATCCAAAATCATTTTCACGTATACAAAATTTTATTGTAACAATTAAAAACATAAATCTATATTGTAGCATAAGCTATTTTTCCATACGATACAGAATATATATTATTATTTACGTACATAATCATTGTGTGACCAAAATGTTAAAAATCAAATATACCTATTTCGTAGATTTATTCGACAAAAGTGCAAAACATAGCTGAGAAATAATTGAACACGTGAATACGTAACATTTAAGTTATAAATCGTAACGGATGCATAAATGCTCAACGGTGATGTACAGACGTAAATAGCATATGCTACCTCTATTGTAGTGTAACTCAATGTATCCCACTGGAATCCATTGCGTTAAAGATACACACGCATTAACAAAGTTATCTGCATTTATTTCAACATTTATCACTATCGTTGTTCATAGGCATACGTTGTAGATCACAATAGGGGTTCTAATTGTGTGAGTGAGTTTGTTCGAAAAATTTTGCGCTTACTTTACTTTATATAATTCAAAATACTTCTAACGTTTCTGAAGAACAAAAAGAAAAGGCAAATAAATTAAATGTAACGTAAAATCACAGATATCGACTCTTCCGCGAGATACCCTCGAATACTGCATACAATATCACTTGCGTCTCTCAATTACCACAAAAGTGATATATCGGGGGAACACGATTTCAATGGGATACACCGGAACCGGTAAATTCGACGCGTTAGATCTTGACATCCAACATCCGTAACTAAGTAAATCAAGAAGAACTCGCTAGTCACCTGCACTTTCAGTGTCCGCTGAGAAATCGGCTAAACGTTCCAACTATAAATTAATCGTGTCCAGTGTGTGCGAATTCCTAGATGCACTATTATCCTTTGGTGACGTAGTGGCGACATTCACCTGCTTCGTAACGTTGTTTGCGAACGGCATAGCGAACTTAAAATCAGCACCATTTGGCAATTTGCGCATAATCTTCCCGGACGTGATGAGCCTTCCGAAGCCCTCCTGGTGAGCGAAGGCGTAGCCAGAGCGTAGAGAACGCCGTGTACGTCTCGTAGACGGTGTACGCAATATATCCTGACTCTGGCGGGAGCGTAGCTGTGCCAACCTCTGCTTCAGTCTAACTCTGTCGGACAGTGTCGGCCTAACGTCCATGAAGAAGAATCTCCACGACAAGACCGGTATCACGAGAATTATGCAGGATATCACCGTTGTGAACCAAAAGGTTGCCTCCGACATAGCCTGTGATGACAAATTGATTTGAGTCCCGAGCATTATCGTTTTTAAGCACGAACGTTTTTCAAACTTTGGAAAAAGATACAGAATTGTGACAACGTACCATCGTGAGACTGCCAACGTAACTACCGCCTATGACGAAGTTGTAGAAATAATCTAAAATAAAATACCAGATGAGCGAGCCCCACACCATGATGTGATTAAAAACTGTCCAGTACGACGTGTCGAGGGCTATTTGAACGGTCACGACTATCACTAATATGGTAGCTACTACACTGCCGAACAGCATGTGATCAGAAAGTACAAAACCCTTTGGCGACACTCCGTCTCTGTATGTCCCTGTTAAAAAGTTCATAAAACTTAATTCACTGCGAATTAATGATGATATTCAATTGTTTTAATAAGTAAATGCGAAAATAATATTCGTGATAATGTTAGATACTTACCATAAGGTACTAAAAATAATACACAACTAGCGTAGAATCCATGTAGAGCACTCCAACAAAATTCTTTCTTATTGAAGAGCAAATTCTGCAGTCCCGGTGCATAAAGTTTCGGATACATTAAGCTGTTCTTATCGTTAACATCCTGATCGAAAATGCCAACTGCCAGGACCGGTAACGAGGTGTAAAACAAATTGTAGACGGATATATACATGGGGTCAAAGACAGTCTGCAAGAAAACACGTACAAATAATTATATCGTTGCCTTGATTATTCCTAATAAACATATTATTCTTGAAGATTGAATCAGTAAAAAAATTTTTATATGCATATTCAAAATCTCGACTTCGGAGCAAAAAAAGCTCTGACAAAGGAGTTTTAAGAATCATATTCGCCTTTGTGTCATCATTTATCCTATTCGTTATTTGTTGTCGCTTTTACTAGCTTTGCTGTAATCTTTGTAATATGGCCAGTGGCGTAATATATCTAGATACATTTATTAATTACATTAGATATATTTATCTAATTACAGTAAACATATATATTTAATTACAATATCTAGATATTTTTGTGTAACTTTATTTGTAACCAATTAGATTTTTCATTTCAGTAACTGTATCTGTAACAAATGTCATTTTACCTGTATCTAAAATGTTAAACTTAGATACAGATACAAGGTAAAATGAAATTAGTTACAAATATAGTTACTGAGATGAAAAATTTAACTAGTTACAGATAAAGATATACAAAAAGTATCTAGATATTGACTAGATAAATATATCTACTGTAATTAAATAAATGTATCTAGATACATTACAACACTGGATATAGCCTTTCGTATATTCTCACCTGTGCGCTGAATCCGCAAAAGAAGGCAAACCAGATGTGACAGAGGGTGAACGCGAAGTTTTTATAAAAAAAGTACCTAAGGAATTTACTCATTCTATAATATGACCATCTACCGTGAACCAGAAGTAACCTTTCCAAAAACCTAAATTGCCCTATCGAATAATCGGAAGCTAATACGGCCTGCAGTCCTTCCTGCCCGCTGATGCCAACGCCGATGTGAGCTGTTTTTATCATTGAGACGTCATTGGCGCCGTCGCCAATTGCCAGAGTCACTGCGGACTTATTCTTCTTAATCAATTCGACGACCATCGCCTTCTGTAGCGGCGTCACCCGACAGCATATTACGGCTTTACCTGGAAAATTCCAACTGTTAGTAACAATGTCTCTTAAACGTTAGCTAGTCGCCAACTTACATTGACTGGATACTTCGAGGAAAAGATGCTCGAGTTTCGGATGTAATGCATGAACCAAAGAGTGTCCATTGATAACCAATGCAAATCCTGTCGAATGTTCCATCTCGTGCTCGTCCTGTTCATCTCTGCTAGGATTATATTCTGTATCGCTACTGTGCAGAGAAAATATAGTTTTCGAGTAAAAACAGATTATTTCCCTTAAAATAAAAGACAATGGATCTGGTATTTGACTTGTGGAAAGTAGACTCAAGGATTTGTCTCTGCTCACGATGTACGCAATTAAAACAAAATTTGTAGGCAAGAGATAATAAATCTCGTGATTATATTAATAAAATGACATAAAACTTCGTGACTGGACTTATTGTCGTTAAAAAGAATGATGCACGTTAATTATAAATGAATACACAGTGCGTTATATTAATATCTACAGATACAAAAACGTGACATAAAAGCAACATACCAGTTGTGTTATTGTTATCGGACTAAGATTAATTATTAAGCATACAGAAAGAGAAGGAGTGAGTATCAAGCATCATGAGATAATTCTCAGTCTATCTATGACTATATAAATATCGCTAAGAATCGTAGAATATCCATAGTAATACCTCAGATGTAGCATGTGCAGTATCTGGAAAATACCTGAAGTGGTTTAAAGAGATCAAATCTAATCTACTACCATTCTAAAGTACAATCGCATTGCTGATTACAATTATCAATAATAAATGTAACAAGTCTCGAATATATATTTGAGTTACAAAAATACGAAATACAGTTTCGTAATGCTCTTTTAAATAGAAAAAAAGATACGATAAAATACTATATTTTATATGCATGCAACCGTAGCTTCGAAAGTAGATCTCTCGCGAGATATAGGTAGATAGATAGATAGATAAATAGAAGATAAAATACGTAAAATCAGTGCGCATACGATGAATTAAGCGCCGTACTAGCAAAGATATATAATCCGTCGTCGCATCCTCATATTGTGCGAAAGTAAATAATAAACTCAACTGATAATTTTATAAATATATATGTATATATATTCATACTTTCTAGACAAGTCATCATAGATTTGAACGAATGAGTTACGCGATTCGCTAGCTTGGATATGAAGCGCACACGACTCTTTTGCAGTTAAGTATGATAAATTCTTAGCCACGACTATAAGACATAGAAAGCATTATATGGAACATAGTGCCACATTCAGTATATATGAAAGAAAATTTTTTCTCTCTTTTTTTCTTTTCTCTTAATGAATGCGTTAATTGAAATCGGAAAACAGAAGAAATTGATAGATTTTACTCCGTCTCTTTCATGTGCCTGACCTTTCCTTGTCCCACCTGAATGTGACGATGGAGAGTGTCGGCCGGTTCTGTTGGGTCGAAGTTGTCTTAATGGTATCCAAATACCGCATTAACTGCGTCTCCACGCCATCGTAAGTGGTGGCGTCCACCACGAAGACGTCCGTGAGATCGTCCGTCAGCAATTGACACGAGTATCCAATATTGATGGCCGTTTCTGTGAAACATTGGAAAGTTTAAAGAGATCAAATCTAATCTACTACCATTCTAAAGTACAACCACATTACTAATTACAATTGTTAATAATAAATGTACCAAGTCTCGAATATATATTTGAGTTACAAAGATACGATAGTTTCGTAATGCTCTTTTAAATAGAAAAAAAGATACGATAAAATATTATATCATAAAATTACGACGTAAGAGAGAATCACTGTACAGAAACTGATTTTAAATATACATCAACGGTTCGCGTTAACTTCAAGCTTACCCTGCTTGTCGCCAGTTAACACCCAAAGTTTAATACCAGCGAGACCCAGATTGGCAATGGTCTGCGGTACACCGTCCTGCAACTTGTCTTCGATGGCAGTAGCACCCAATAACGACATATCTTTCTCGATTTCTTCGTAAATCGCGTCTAACTTATCATCTCTATTTTCTTGACTCAACGCTGCCTCCTGATGGCGTTGTTTCCAATTATTGAAAAAACTTTCGTCCAAGTCCCTCACAGAAAGGCACAATGTTCTTAAGCCTTCACCTGCGAACTTATTTAGGTGGTCCAGTGTCTTCGCCATTATCTCTTCGCTGTCCTTCTTCAATCGCTCGTAGATTACATTATCAGCGCCCTTACAGTATAGTCGCAGATGTCCGTCTTTTCTTAAGATCACGGACATTCTTTTCCGTACGTTATTGAAGTCCAGAATACAGAGCAATTCGTAAATCTCCTTCTTCCCCATTACCTCGATCGTTATACTGTTTGGCGATCTCTCCTTAAAGACAAAACCAAAATTCCTGGCGGCAGATACCAAGGCAGCTTCGTCTGGCGACTGTGCCTGGTATTCGATTCTACCGTTTTTCTCTTCCGGCATAACGGTGTGACAAAGTGCCAGTAGTCTGAAAAAACTGTGGACATCCTGATTCTCTCGCTTTACGGCCTCGAGTAACGCGGGATCGTAAAACTTGAAGTCTGGCTCGTAGTCCTTGTTAAACGAGAAATCCAGAGGTGGCATTGTCTGTAAACGTATAAATAATTTTTGTTTTCAGGAATTCTCTGCCTCGCCTAGCGCAACGTGGAGAGTTAATATGGAAAGAAGAAAATTAATCTTATTGACGAAGATCGAGAAAATCTGTTGTTAGGAAAAAAAAAGAAAAAAAAAACGCTAAACGGAAAGCCAGAAACCGTGACCAAAGGAATATATATACCTTGTCTCCGTAAAAATAGATTCAATGAAAGACATGAGATACATACTGTTAGTTGAATTATCGTTACCCTTAAACCACACACAAATTGCAAGAAAATAGTAAGAGAGAAATTAGCCTAGATGCGTTAGATAGGAAAAATAGAAGTGATACGAAGCATACGCATCTAGTTTTTAGCATAGTGTAAATTCCTAACGTGCATGAACATGAAATACAAGTACAGTTTCTAAGTCATCAATCCAACACACTCGATATAATTAAATAGATCGAGTGCAATAGATCGAGTGACAATAGAAATTTTTGAATTTACATAGAAGATGTGTATGTGTGTGTGTGTGTGTGTGTATACACACGAATGTGCAATAATAAACGGATAAAAGCGATACAGATATCGATAGATTCTGTTACAGATAAGCGAAGGGGATCAACTAATTTCGCTATTATACAAGTGAATACGGGTTCTGTGATCGTAACAAGACAAGTGCTAATTATCAACATGCGTACTGAAGGCTTGTGTGGAATCTTTGGGCTGCCGTTGATGCCAGGCTCCGGTGTTGTGTTGGACACTCTGTCTGCTTGTTCCAGAAGACGTACATTTGGACCACTTAGTGGTGTATAAACTGGACGTACGAATTCCTGTCCGCTTCTCCATCGCATTGTCGGCGTTCGAATAGCTCTGTCCGTCTACATGCAGCACACACATGCTAAGTGATGTATATGAAATCTTTTGCAAAGATACAACCACGATACGTGTGTCGGAATTATAATTTGCACGTAACTCAATCAACAAAATCATAAAGTGTACGAGAAAATCATAGTGTATTATAGAAAATAAATCACGGTGTATATCGGTGTATAACCTAAGGGCATTCTACAAATTATTATTTAAACAATGCACGAGGATACTCTCAACGTACAACTGTGTAAAAATGTATCAAATATGTTTTGTTGTCGCATAGCTAGAAAATTTCTACCAAAACTCCTCTTGCGTAATAATTATTTATCGAGTACAACATAAAAATTAAAACAAGATTATAATAAAAAAGTATGTAACATCACGCAAATTCATCGATATTATTAATATCAAATACATGTTCTTTATACTTGTGGTGTTGTATGTGATTCCCCTCTCTCTCTCTCTCTCTCTCTCTCTCTCTCTCTCTCTCTCTCTCTCTCTCTCTCTCTGACTCTCTCTCTCTGCACAATATACAATATTCTATACAATATAACAGAAATTTCTTAGCGGAAGCGTGTGACTAATACCGTTTTCACGCAGCGTCGTAAGCATAGCCATATAATGTGGGACAAACGTATTGCTCTCATATCTCGGACAATGTATAATTTCGTAAATAGATAATGTGAAGAAAAAGTGAATTTTGCAGCACGTACCCTGTCATCAGCATCGAGTTAAGGGATCTTCGTGAGAAAAACGGAACAAACGACTCACCTCGCTCAAATCGATGACTTCGCCGGTGACCTCGTCGATAACATCGCCATAACACTTGCCCGCCACAGAACACTTGTTAAAAGTCATTATATTCTGCGTCAGTGTCCCGGTCTTGTCCGAAAATATGTACTCTATTTGGCCCAGCTCCTCGTTTAACGTGGTAGTCCTAGCTTTAGCGTGCGTATTTGTGGGCGCGTAGTACATCTCCTCATCCCAATTTATCAAAAACGACTGAACGAATCGAATTACTTCGACACTCACGTACAAACTGATTGGCACCACTGTGTTCAGCACGATAGAGTACGAAAAGAACACGAGCAGGGCGATCACTGTTGCGCCGGAAATGGGCTCGCTCGGCACTAACGAGTCCCACGGTAAATACACTTGGAAATAACGGCCCAAGAGGCTCTCCCAAATACCACAGCCGATCATACAGAACAAACACAGGGAAAGTAAAAAAAACACTATTCCGATGATGAGGAGATTCAGCAGCCTATCTATAGAGGTCCTCTTAAATTTGGTCTTCCCTGAGTTTTGCATCAGTTTGGTATCCTTGCCCGCAAAGATCACCATGCCATAGCACCATTGCGTATTTCTGAGCACGCAACCCCGTAAAATAATCTTGTCGTTATCCAATGCATATCTGCAAAATGTTCGCGAGAGATGTTAGCGATCACGTTGACACGGCACGATAAACAATAAGTTAAGTAAACTCCCGATACTCCGCAAAACAAGAACCAGATATCTCCAGTTTTCGCAAGAATCGCAACCTTCTGTGAGACGTCTCACCGAAGATACACTCGGTTCTTGTTTCTGCTTCGTTTTTCGTGTCGAATCTTACTTTCGCCCTTTCCACGTGAGCGTTCCATCGAATTTGTTCAACAAATTATTAGGGGTTTCGCAAACGATCTCTCCATCGAACTGGCCGATCAGCTCGTGATTATCCATCATCTCGGCAGTTTCTGGCAGACACTGACGACACTTCAAATTCGTCTCTCTGTAACAGGTTTCGTAGATCATTATTATGACGATTTATCCTTATATACAAGATTCGTGCTTGCATATTATCTCATAACTTTATAGGCCATACCCGTCCAATTCTGCCGTTTCGATGTAACAGAGACCGTTTGGCTCGCTCGTCGTCAGGAGTAGAACATCCGCCGCGACGAACTGATCGTTCTCCATTCTGATTACGTCACCCACCTGGACCTGCGACCATTTCTCCTCACGAAGATTAGAACCCCGCAGTGTTCGGGATTTCCTATTGTTTACTTGAGAATCGCTGCTATGCCGTTGCTAAAAATTAAATTGTCGCGTCAGCTTTTGGAGTAAAGACAGCGCAATACTCTTATCACTTTATAAAAACGCCATTTTCTTTATATCCTTCAATTTTACAAGAGACATAAACGTACGTTCACGTACATTTCACAGCTCGATATTACATCAGCGTTGATAGAGAATTTTTTATCATATTTTTTGCGAAAAGTAAAAAGAGTTGAAAGCAAATTAGTGGTGAGATACTCACAAAGTCGTCATAGGCATCTTTGACGGCAGTGAGCGTGAGTACCCCTATAAGCGGTATTGCTGTGGTGATAGGGGTTAAGGAGGATATGGCGGGGATCATCTGAAGCACCAACAGGCATAGGAAGTAAAAGTTGGCGAGCCGCTGAAATTGCTCGAACAAATTTAACGGTAGGAACGTCAGAACCGAATACTTGGACGTCTTGATGTAATTATTCTGCAAAAGAACGAAAATGTTCTCAATTCGTCTTTTATAGCACACTTATACAATATTTACTTGAATCATTTTTTTTATATTTTTTTAATACGAACTCTCTCGAGGTAAATTAATAACGTAAGACAAAACTGTTCACTTACCGCATAATTAAATTGTGAGTTGTACTCCCGATTGTTGGCGCGAATCCGCCTCTCTGTTTCTGCAAAGATAATGCAATAAATAAAGTACTTATTGCGCGCGTCTGTACACTTACAAGACATAAAATAATATCATCAATGATTCTCATTAAATCGTATCTATGATACAGATATATCTCCGCTATCTATATCGTATTGAGAACAAAGAAATAGAAGAAGAAAGAGAAGAAAAAATATAGAAGAATATTTTGAAGAATATTTTGAAGAAAATGATTCAAATAAGACAATTTTTTCCGACACAAGGATTGTAAGGTAAAAGTACATAATGCCTGAATATGTATCAAACTCTGAATATTCTTATTGTTTTGATCTTTAATACAAATATTTAAACTTTCAACGAAAAATATATGTATATACATTTTAATATATAATATATATATATATATATATATATATATATATATATATA